AATGATTTTTGGTATACATATAGAGAAAAATGTTCTGACTCCGAAACCGTTCGCGATCAAATTTTTGGTTGATGCGCGCAAAAGTTATCGAGGTTTTAATTTTGGGCATAAGAAAAAAATCTTAAAATTACGCCGTTTATTATATTGACCAAAAACGTTGATATATATCTTCCTCCGTAAAATAAGAATATGAATATATTATAACAATCACAATAAAGTTGCACATATTCGCGAAATATGAGAAAAATAAAAACATATAGCAGATTACATCAATATTTTCATTATATTAATGACATACACACACACCTAAAAATTAACTTAAAAATATCTACATAATCTAAACACCATGGTGAATCAAATGATATCAAAATCACACAAGTCCATGTAGCGGTTTCTAAATCACAGCGACAACAAAACAAGATATTGAGGAAAAATATTTGTTTTTGGTTCGAAAAAATAATGTCATCATATTTATTTTTTTAATTGTATACAAGAAATTTCAGAAAAAAATGTTGGGGTTATTCTGCTATTTTACCCGAATTTCGCCGAAAAATTGACATATATAATAATAATCACTTTTTGTGTATAAGTATACGCCTTCCGGATTATATCAAGACCCTTCCGATAAATCTTAGAATTCTATAAATAGGAATAAATCTTAAAATAAAATAATATTATGAAATATACATTTTAAATTGCGTGTAAATCGCGTAATTCTCAAAATCATTTGATGCGCATGCGGTTTCCAGGAAGTACTGAAGTTTATCTTCCAATCCATATATATTTTGCGAAATTTCATTTGACGGCTAAGATGTGCCACACGTTACATTGAAGTACCCAAAAAATCGTAAAACGCGAATAATTTCCGAAAACTCCATATGTCATTAACGCGCATCCGATTTCGGTGTGCACCCTAAAAAAATATATCGATCTATACCGATTTCAATGTGGTCCATTAAGAACCATGGATGTGCCAGCTCACACTATTTTTGAGATAAATTGCGTCTAAATCGCGTAATTCTCAAAATCATTTGATGCGCATGCGGTTTCCAGGAAGTACTGAAGTTTATCTTCCAATCCATATATATTTTGCGAAATTTCATTTGACGGCTAAGATGTGCCGCACGTTACATCGAAGTACCCAAAAAATCTTAAAACGCGAATAATTTCCGAAAACACCATATGCCATTAACGCGCATCCGATTTCGGTGTGCACCCTAAAAAAATACATCGATCTATACCATTTCAATGTGGTCCATTAAGAACCATGGATGTGCCAGCAAAATCTATTTTTGAGATAAATTGCGTACATCTCTCTTTCGGCTGAAGTTTTTAAAGTTCTCTTTTCGAGAAAGATCAAAATCCGCATGAGGTCATTTATTGAAGCGGAAATGAAACACAGAAAACGCAAATAAATCCGCGATATTTTCAAAAACATTTTTTGCCAAATTTCGTGTTTTTGGAAGGCCAGTTCCCGCCGTTCTAGTAGATGGATTTTCACGAAGAAGATTTTATATCATCCGAAACGTAAAAAACCTTTATGATCGCGGGTACCCATATCATTCAGTTGACAGATCTAAAAATTTGGCCCGAAAAATAGGTTTTTTAGAAATTTGATCGCACAAAATTCGCACCTTCGGATGAGTATTACTCTGAAGCTGTGCATACTACATACACAAAATACATATCAAATTACGCAGATTCGCGACTACAATAATCTTATAATCGATTTTTATAACTTCCTGTTTGCGTATTAAAGCTAGAAGTAAAATTAAAAAAACACTCAAAATCGAGCTTCAAAATGTCAGCATCATTTAAAGATAGATGCAGTGAAAATTTTGAAAAATGGTACATAAGGGGCGTAGTCCCCATATTGTTGGCTTCTAGTTTTATTTTGACACGAAGACCGTGCAATGACTGGCGTAGTCACAAATCGATAGAGAACATAAAAAAACTGGTTTGCCTCAACGTGTTTTTACACACTTTTTTACATTAAAGTAGACACAGCTTCCACCAAAATAAAGTTTGGAGGTCAATATCATGAACAGTTTGCAACGACAGATCAATTAACCCAAAACTATTCACTTTTGTTCATATACTTAAGTAGTTCCCGAGTTATAAAGGGGTGAACCTCCGCTTCAGCTATGTTAAAAAATTGGCAATATTGCCCATATTTTAAGTCAATAGTTTTCAAGAAATTTACAGTATAAAATTAACAATATTGGAAACAAGGTCTATGTTGACTTCAGTAAGTGTTAATTAAACACCTTGCAGAAATGTGTCGAAATCTTCAGTATTTCGGCAAAGAAAAAATTACATTGAATTTCACTATCAGTTACAAAAGAAATTATTTTTGTAAACTCGATACTTCTTATAAATAAATTATCCCTAAGTCGCCACATTTATATCATTAATTACATGTATATAGGGTTTCAGTTTCCGACATTGCGGACATTGCGTTTAAAAACACTGGACACAACAAATCCTGGATATTCAAAATATTATGTTGGGAAAAAAGAAATCCATTATGAAAATGTCGATAAAATCGGAGTCGTAACAACGCCAAGAAGCTAAAAATCGACCATATAACTGTTTCAAACCATTCAAACAAAGCTGGATTTAAAAAGAAGCCCGACGTTCGGATGCCACACCAAATAACAGAATAAAAATAGGACGGATCGAAGTTCCATCTGCGAAGCCTTGGCCAAACGGATTGAGATAGACCCATTTCTTAAACGGATGGTGACTGGAGATAAGAAATGGATCACATACGATAACCCTGTGCAAAAACGATCATGGTCATAGAGCGGTGAAGCACCTCAAACGGTGATCAAACGGCCAGGAAGGTTCAGCTATGGATTTGGTAGGACTGGAAGGGGATCATTTATTATGATTTGCTTCCATATGACCAAACGTTAAATTCTGCTCTCGGCTGTCAATAACTGGACCGTTTGCAGATGCAATCGACCAGAAAGGGCCAAAATTGACCAACAGGAGAGGTATCGTGTACCACCAGGACAAAGCTAGGCCACACACATCTACATTGACTCGCCAGACACTTCGTGAGCATGGTTGGTAAGTTTTAATACCTCGGCCATACAGTCCGTACCAAGCGATTATCAACTTTTTCTTGCATTGCAAAATTTCTTTAACGATGCAAAATTGTTGTTGAGAGGATTTTGAAAATCGACTACTAGAGTTTTTTGCAAATAGAGAGCATGATTTCTAAGAGGGAGGCACTATGAAGTTACCTTTACAATAGCAACAACAAAATCATACAACAAAATGGTACAAATTTGGCCCCAATCGAACATTCCGGAGCGTGTTAAATAAAGTCCTATAGTCCGCCAGTCTGTCTGTTGAAATCGCGATGTAGATTGCAATATTTGAGATAGGGCTTTGAAATTGTGAAATTTGAAACGCTACACCCCAAAGATCGGTATTTGGAGTGCGTTTTTCGAACAAATTTGGGAGCAATTTAATATGATGGATTTTTATAAAGAAGAAATTTAGAGCCATTATTCGGTATTTTGGGAGGTTTTGGCAACCGAATCCCCTTTACTTTGATTTATCAAATTGTTATAAGGTTTGACACCAAAAATTACCACTTTCAGTTTTCGGTTTCATATACCTCACATAGAACGGTACCATCTTATTTACCGTATTTGAAGATTTTAGCCGAATTTTCTAACCAAAGTAATTTGATATAAAGGGTTCTAGAAGGCTAACCTATATACAAATTTCTGTGGAATTGATATAACCCCACTCAAAACTTCCACTTATTTTTTGGTGTTAATAAATTTTCAACCGAAGTTTCTCATGGACGTGGCTACAATTTGACATATTGGATTTCCGTTTTAAAAAGTCCCGTGCACTTCACGTGGTGGAGGTTATAAAAAGTTCGATCCGAGGTTCATATTCACAATTTAATTAAGTTAAAATTCAATTATTCAAATGCGAATTGTTTTTTTTTTTTTATAGCCAGGAGAGACGCTGATTTAGTTAGATTCCACATATGTCTTTTCATCCTTGTGAACAGAACACTAATGACTCCACGGTCATTTTGTGCTGCTTTGCAGTAGCATAAAATTTTCCATAGGCCATCGCATTTTTAGAGAATACTGGCCGGCATCTACCACATAGTTGCTCAGTGCAATTTAGTTATGACGGACATTTTTGTTGGATTAAAATTTAATATTTAAAAAATAGTTCATAGAGCTTCGGAAACGAAAGTGTGATTATTTGGCTATTGGACACACTGATTTATACAGCTCACGCACGTTTAGTGTTTTGTTGCACTGTCAAACATTTTGAGATCTTACAAACGAATAACGTTTGCGCTTAATCGACCAACCGATGCTATCTAGGCTATTGTGACTACATTTCGCACCAAATTTACATTGCTGAACATTGGCTTAATAGTGTGAGAGCAGTTGAAAATATCGCAGATTTATCGGCCAGTCTTAATTATGGCCATCAATTATCGATTTGTCGCTATTCGCAGCGATTGGGACTGAAAAGACAATGCCAACATTGGACTAAGCCGATGGACCATTTGAGTGCAGTTGCGGTCAACATTTGCATACTATCTATGCACATAAGGATTCCATAATTCTTTTTCTGAATATTATGTGTTTCTTTTTGTTGAAAGTCTTGCCTGTAGTCTCTAAAATATCACCCTATATATGAACTAAATGCCTTGTAGTTGTACATGTTGCGTATACGTGTTGTGCAGTGCAATTAGTACATATTACGTATACGCAAACAAGCACAACACTAACATGACGGCTCGATTAAAAATGTATATTTAATAATAAAATATAAATTTAATGAAACTACTATGACATTATTGAAACCAAAAAGAAAAATTTATCTATACAACAAAAAATTCAATCATTCTAATGTTATGCTAGGATAATGATAATGGAACATCAAGGAATATTACAAACAAAAAAGGACTAACACAGATAACAATTTAAAAATAATTTGTCTGTTTTTAATTAACTACAACACATCATAATTTGTTGATATAATTTTTCATAAATTAATTGCATCTTACGATTTTGATTATGACATGATGGACCTGGAACTATGAAAACGGTTTCATAATCACGATAATGATCAGTATTGCTAAATGTACGAGAAAATAATGGCAGTGAAGAAGACAGTGAAATAGATGGAGAAAGAAGAGATGAGAAATGTTATTATAAGTAGATGTTTAATTTCAAGATATCGAAAAAAGGAAAACAAAAAGAACTCAAAACATAACTTCAATGAACAGAAATAAATGAAACAATAAAAAAACTATAAAACAATAATCTTTGGAGAGAAATTTACAAATATTAAAAAAAACGAAATGGTTAAATTATTTTGGCCAAGAAGGCGCTAAGGAATTTGTACATATACAATCGTAGATTGTGGTCTCTAAAATAGTATTCATAGATTTTTAAATGACCCTTATAAATCCCAATACAGCGCAATAGCTGTTCAAAAGTCTGCCTTAAAATATCCCATATCCCATAAAAAGGAGATAATTTTCCACTATTGACAATTAGGAAAATGTGGCCGATATATATTTGTAGAAGTCTTTTATTGAATACATTGCTGTTTTGGATAGTTATGCCTGTGTTCACTAATTTGTTAGATCTAGGGCGAACGAGAGTCCAAAGGCAAACCCTTAACAATTATGTTTATGAAATTTTCACCAAACTTTTATTCTGCAAAAAAAAAAAAATTCTTGGCCTCGAAAAGGAACAATGAAATAATATTAATGATGCAATTAAAACAACGAACGAATAGCAAACAAATGAGCATAGAATCGACACACAGAATTGATATCATCATTAAAATAATTTAATAGACTTCGGAAACAAGAATGAAGAAAAAGAAAACTGAAATCTAGAATCACTCTAAGAAGAATAACTAAAATAGAAAACTTTGTAGTACACGTGCCAAAAGTATTTCTGGCATCACTCCCCCATGGCTCCTTCCCACCCCCTCCCCTACCACAGATAGCCTAGAAATGAATAAAGTCTAATTAGAAAACAAAAGTAAAAGAAGTAGATTTAATCATTTGGATTATTGTAGAAATTCTTGCGTTATTTCTTCTTCATTTTCGATTGATTAGTTCAAGTAGTATTTTTATGTTTTATATGGAAATCAATACTTAAGATATAATTTTTTTGTTTTTATGTTCATCGTCAATATTGATTGGGAGAATTATGTGGCGAAAAAAACAATATGTTCATTAGGAAACTTTGTAATTTGAATTGGAAGTTTTTATGTTGTTTTCTTCGGTATTGATTACATGGAAGTTGCCTGAAGAAAATTTCGAATTAAGAAAATAAGGATACGCATATTGGAAAAGTTTGTAAAAAACCCAAAAGATATAGAATGCATATAAACACAGGTCTTCTACAAGAAGTATTTCATAGGTTCTTGAATATGTCTTTTTTATATTTGTTAAATCTGTTTCCAATGGTATCTGAGCTATAAATGATTTTTCTAAGGAAGCCTATACTATAGCGTGGATTTTTTCGCTGTTCTTTTTTATTAATGCAGTGAGAGGCCCAGAGTTATAGCGTAGATATATTAAATATATTTGTCTGAAAGACCATCAAAATTTATAGCCTCGGATTTTTTCGAAGATTTTGTAAGCTCAGACTTTTTAGGATTTGTTCGCAGAGTCTAAGGTTTTTTATAAGAGTGTATTTTATCAACTATCAGATTCATAAGCAAAATTTTATAAGTATTAAATTTTCGTTTTCTAAGGGACAACACTGGTATAAGCGAGAATATTTTTCGGATGAACTATCAGAGCTATTCTGAGGGACTTTTAAAGCTACAAGAGTGGTTTTTAAAGATTTTTTCTAAGGGGCTGAACAATGAGTTTGGATTTTTTACAATCTCTTTTTGAGGAACTGACAGAGCTCCACGGGTGTTTTTTTTTCAAAGATTTTTCTGAAGGGCTATAAAAGGTCTAAGTGGTTTTTAAACATTTTTTCTAAGGGGCTGAAGAATGAGTTTGGATTTTTTACCATCTCTTTTTGAGGAACTGACAGAGCTCCACAGGTGTTGTTTTCAAAGATTTTTCTGAAGGGCTATAACAGGTCTAAGCGTGACTTTTTTAGGTTTTTTGAAAGGCTTTAAGAGTTCTAAGGGAGATTTTTTTAAAACATTTTCTGAAGGGCTACCTGAGCTTTAAGCGTAAATTATTTAAAGATTCTTGTCTAAAGGACTATCAGAGCTACAAGCGTGGATTTTGTAAATATTTTTCTGAAGGGCTATAAAAGCTCTAAGCGTGGAGTTTTAAAGATTGTTCTCAAGGACCATAAGAGCACTAAGTGTGGATTTTTGAAGATCTATCTTTTGAACATTTTTTGAATGATTTCGATTTTTTTTCCGAATGGGTATAAAAGGTCTAAGCGTGATTTTTTAAAGATTTTTCTGAAAGGCTCTAAGCGTAGATTTTTTAAAGATTTTTCTGAAGGACTATAAAATGACTAAGCGTGGATTTTTTAAAGATTTTTCTGAAAGGCACTAAGCGTAGATTTTTTAAAGATTTTCCTGAAAGCTCTAGGCGTAGATTTTTTAAAGATTTTTCTGAAAGGCACTAAGCGTAGATTTTTAAAGATTTTCCTGAAAGCTCTAAGCGTAGATTTTTAAAGATTTTCCTGAAAGCTCTAAGCGTAGATTTTCTTAACGATTTTTCTGAAAGGGCTATAAGAGCTCTAGGCGTGTGTTCTTCAAAGATTTTTCTGAAGAGCTACAGAGGTCTGAGCACGAATTAGTTAAATATTTTTCTGAAGGGCTATATGAGCTCTGGCCGTGGATTTTTTAAAGATTATTTTGAAGAGTTATAAAAGTGTACCTTTTTTTAGAGATTTTTGAAGAGGTCTAATCGTGGATTTTTTAAAATATTTCTTAAGAGCTAAAAAGGGCTAGACGTAGCTTTTTTATAGATCTTTTGAAAGGCTATAAGAGGTCTAATAGTGGATGTTTTTAAGATTTATTTAAGGTCTCTAAGCGTAGATTTTTTTAAAGGGCTATAAGAGGCCTAAACCTAGATTATTTAAATATTTTTTAAATGTTTTCTGAAGGGTTATCAGAGGTCTTAGGATGATTTTTTAATCTTTTCTAAAGGTATATCAGAGGTCTTAGCATGATTTTTTTAAGAAGGGGCTATAAGAGGTCTGAAGGATTTGGATTTTTTTCTTAATTTCCTGAAGGGTCTAAGCGTGGATTTTTTAAAAAATTTTCTGAAGGGCCATAAAGGTTAATAAGAGCTTTAAACGTGGATTTTTTTTAAAGATTTTTCTGAAGGGCCATAACGGTTAATAAGAGCTTTGAACGTGGATTTTATAAAGGGTTTTTTGTGTAGGGCTATACGTGGTGTGATCGTTTTTTTTTTAAGATTTTTCTGAAAGGATATCAAAGTTCAACGTGTGGATTTAAAAGAATATGAATCGTAGACTATCAGCGCTATAGGCGTAGGTTTCAAATAATCAGAAAGACTATAAGACACCTGGATTTGAGGGACTATCATAGACATGGGATTTAAAAAAAAAATTGAAGGACTGTCAGATTTATAAGAGGGCGCGTAAGCATGAGGTTATATTGGAGGTATAAGATACTATCAGTGCTTTAATATGAACTTTTACAACAATGTTGTTATAGGAGTGACCATCAGAGATATACCCTCGGATGTTAAAATCTATTTTTATGAGCGTGGAATTTTTAGACATATTTTTTTAAGGTACTATTAGAGTAGAGGATGTGTATACATTCCGACATAATGTGACCTTGATTGGAGACCACATACATAATATTTATATTCTAGCTTAGAATATATGTCGATCTCGATTTACCAACATTTGTCTCTTTGTTGAAGTTTGCTCCTGGGATGTTTGAAAATAATATATTGGGCATGTATTTCAACCGAATCGGTTGTAATTTAGAAATTTAAGTTATTATTGGGTAACAAATCCTTCTACCAAAAATTGTCAACACTGACTCATACATCCTCCAATATTTGGAATTTTGGACAACTGTAGTTTTGTCTTTTGTGTTCTCCTGGCAGCAATTTAACATGAAAGCACCGATCAATTTTAGGTATTTTGAATGTTCATTCGGACCGGTCGACCTATAAGACCACTTTGTATTTGTTTATAGATAGAAAAAGTCCCCCATCAAGACGAATTTTTGTACATACAACTTTTTCTATAGATATAAAATCTCCCTCAGATTGTATGTAAAGAGTTCAGATTATTTGTGCCTGTACTTTTACAGTGCTTCTGTAGATAGAATAATTTTTACAGAATTTATTTTGATAGGTGGCCTACTAGGATTTCTATCAAAAGTATCCTACAGACAGAAGATCACTTTCAGATTTTCTATATAAGTACTTTCCCAGACTATCGTTATATAAAAGACCTCCCGGACTAAGTCCATCCTGTTTTATTTAGCGGAAATCAAATTAAAGTCCACAATATAAATTTAAATTTTAATAATTAATTTTAAAGTTAAATAAATGTTAAACAAAAAATAATTAAAACCAAATACCAAACGTAAAAAAGAGGTTAAATAAAATTAAATTGCAACAACAAAAACAAATTAAATTAATGAATTCATCAAAATGGAACAGAAAAGAGACGGAAAAATACGAGTACCGCAGGATGAGTAGAAGAAGGTACTTACTTTTTTAAAGGCACTTGACTAGCGGAAATCGAGCCCGTATTACGATTATGCATTTGTTGTTGTTGTAAATGATGATGTTGTTGTTGCGGATGTTGTGATAGCTGTTGTTGTTGTTGCTGCTGTGGATGATGATGATGATTATTTGCTGCTATATTACGGGCATCCGTTATCCTGCAAGCTACCATGTTGAACTCTGTAAACGAATTATTTCTACAATTAATTTTGGTGGAGTATTTAGCCATCCTTATACTAAACATATAAATTCATCATTTATATATATTTGTGGATGTGTACACACTAACAATACATTAACATTATCGTCTATATAAATATCAAGTTTGGAGCGGGGTACATAGGGGGTAGGGCTAGCGGGCTTTCACATTTAGCTAGATGGTTAATTGGTTAGGTTACTCGGTAGCTATGTATGTACATACATACTAGTATGTTATTTATATATAAATATGTATATATTGTATATGCAGAATTATGAACAAATAGACGACATAATAGCGTAACAGTTTATTCATATAGATGTGTGTTTTTTGTATATAAATATATATAGACAGCGATAGATAGCAAATTATGACTTATTATAATTGCTGTTTGACTTCAGAAATTGGAAATAATATTGAATGGAAGAAAGTTCAAGTGTTTTGCTTATGACTTGCTTATGATTAGAATAAGATGAAATTAATTTTTCTTCGAATCCATTTCTTGGGAAAAC